AAAACAACCCGAGTAAATGCTAGGGGTGGTGATAAAAGCAGACACCACTAGCATGCTCGGGGAGGCTCCATCTATTGGTGGGGAGCAGCACCTGCTGGAAACCGGGTCCAGCGTCCTTCGACATGTAAAATGGTTGTTGTCAGAAACATTTGAAGTCATGTAAGCCTACCACGTGTCGGTCGTCAGAATAGCCATCAAAAGCGACCACACGCAAGTACAACAAGCGACCAACGGGCAGCATTGATTGCCCTCGCCTGAGGGGATTAACTGCCCATCGTAATTGAAAATCATATCCCAGATGATATCCCTACTTTGAGCTCCTCATCGTTTACCAGGAAATCCGCACGATACCATGAGGAGGGAGGGCGATCATCAGTAGGGAGAGTAGTATACCAAACGATACAACTTCCCTTCGAGACGGTAGATATATGCCCTCCCTGCAAGCTTATAAAGCAAAAGAAGGGGCAATCAGAGAAAGCGAGATGCATGCAAAATCTTCGTCAAAAAGAGGGGGTAGGGGCATCCAAGCGTAAACAGCCACGTGGCAAACACAACAAGCCACTGAGGCAACCGTACGCCTATTCCCAATGCTAGTTCATCACTGCGCCATCTACACTGCCACATGGCGAAATCCTATCTCGTAAAGAGCCGCACAAGGTAAAAGCTGCCATATCAATTCACAATCCCAGACCTGGCAGATCGAGAAGCCGTACATGAGCCATCTCCACACAACTTGAGAAAAGCACAATAGAACCAATCACTCACATATTACCCTATGCAACCCGATTATCCTAGCGACACTACCCAAGCCCCTCACGCCACCATCCCACTTCCAACATTCCGGCCCAATCTTCCCATTTGCAAAACCTTCCAATCATCCACCCCGCTCGCCCATACCCCCGAACCAACCCCAAAACACACCAGCAAAGGGGGAACCGGGGCAAGCGGGGAGAGAGGGGGAGGGACTGCCCATTCACACTTACCCATCCACAAGTATCGCTATAAACCGCTTTATCATTTTGGTTATTACCGGCTGTCTTAACAAAACTGTTGTCACAATCACACTGCCCGCCGGTCACGATGTCACCCGCCAAACCATTGTTATCGTCATCATTGTTAAGATCGTCATGAATATCACCGTAAATATTCTTGTTGATTGTGTCATCGCCGGCTGCATCAATGATATTGAAACCGTTGTCGCAATCGCTGCGGTCCCTGGCCATATTGCCGCCAGCCAAATCGTTATTGTCATCGTCATTTTCCAATTCGCACCCATTGAAAGTCGATCCGCCAATATCATCGTTGACGTCACAGCTTTCGTTTGTGCTGTTGTTATTGTCGACGCCGCACGTGAAGAAAACACTGCCGTTGTTATTTTGGTTGTTGTTGTTGTTGTTGTTGTTGTTGTTGTTGTTGTTGTTGCAGTTCTCGCGCATGGTAATAGCCCCCTTCTCCAGTTGAATGCACTCCTCGTCACCAGCAAACGAACACTGGTCCAATTCGCCGTGAGTTCCCTGCCCCTCCTCAGGCTTCTCGCGGCAGATCACCACCTCCTCGACAAGGAAAGCAGCTGAAATAGAAGTGTCCGCTTCCCTCCAAGAACCCGGCGACGAACGCAGCACCTGCCCCTCCTCAGGCCCCGCGTTCCACAGCCGTTCCCATAGCTCTACAAGGAATCCCTTCACTTCCCCCAGTACTTGAGTACAACCCCCCAACTCCACCATCACCCGTGCATTTTCGATGGCACCCAACCATTGCCAAGGAAGGTTTTCACGGAGCTCCTCCTCCCAACCACTGGACAGCTCCTCAACCTCCGCCAGAAGATCCGCTGGAATATTGTGTTGATGCTGAATAAGCAGCGCATAAATCCCATCCATCTGCTGCCTATGCATCTGCACCCATTCCAGCACGGACCCCTCCTCTTCGAACATGGCAGCTGCAGCAGCATCCTGCATGGACGCCGCCTCAATCGCCAATTGTGTTGTTGATGTCGACACGGTTGAGGCCATTGTTTACTTAGTTCTGATGTTATTATATCTCGTTGTGCTGTCGATACTGCTCCCCAATCAGCCGCGCCACGTCCTAATTAATCACAACTTAATTCCGTCACGCCGACGTGCGGTCTCCTCGAGCTGCCACGTGGAATCTCCCCCACCTACGCCCGGGCCGAGGCGCCAGGCGGGCACCAGGACGACCAGGTACAGCGGTGGCCCACCATCTCCACCTATGCACCAGTCCACGGAGTGCGGCCGGGCCCTGCCGGCCGGTCCGCAGCGCAAGTTAGCGCTAATAGCGCGATCAGATAAGGGGTGCTCCTAAGAAGGGATGAGCTGTGCGTCATTCTAACGCCCTGCCGTTGTCCATGCGCAGCCGTTGTCCATGCGCAAGGCTGCAGCTGTCCTCTCCAGACTCCAGATTAAAAAAAAGACTCCCGTCAGAGGTGGGGAGCACTAGAATGCCTTCGGTGTCTTTCATTTATTTTTTTTTTCACTTCTTTTGTTTTTTGTGCGTGAAAACGACAACCTTCTTTGTATTCCCTCTGCTGGTCAGAGGTCCAGCAGAAGGGTTTCAGAGAGGACGGTACCAGAACCGCCCTCTTTTTCCCTTGTGCTGGTACCTTTCACTTGCAGGCTTGACAAAAATTGGCTCGCAGGGCATTTTTAGACTCGGCGTCAATAGCTGAGAGAGGTACTGGTGGTTTAAACCACCAGTACCTCGCCCGGCTATCGAGTCCAAGCCTCCCGCTACCGGTAAGCCGAGCCTTGCCGAACCTAGAGCTAAAACGAGCTATAATTGCAGTATGGGCCAAGATACAGTTTGCAATTGCAGCTGGGGCAATGTATACAAACCAGCTTTCTGGCCAGGTAGGGTGCCCAAAGTGCAATTGCAAACTGTATCTTGCCCCATACTGCAATTATAACTCGTTTTTGTGACTCTACTCAAGTTACCCCTTTTATTTTTCATTACCGGTCGTTGGTTCCCCGAACCCCGTCCGATGCAGCGCGTTAAAGGCCGCGTGGTGGTATTAACATGCTATTGCAACCCGATATGAGGAGTGCGCTTCTAAGTATGAGGAATGCAGTTCTAGGTATCACAGGCAGTGTCTAATCACCTGGCCCCCTGGCCAAGGTCTAACATATGCAACGTCAGGGCCACCACAACTTCTGGCCCTAGCCTGCCAAATCCAGAAGGCTGCCCGTCCCCCACTTGAGAAGACCTTTAACAAGCTTACTGTCTAAAACATGACACATGCCGCCCGAATGGCTGCGTCCCCGCGTGGAACGCGGTATAACAGTCTGTTGGACTGTCCAATGGTGGTCCAACTATGGGGATGGTGGGATGCTGTGTGGCACTACTTCACAGACACCCACCTACCATGGGACCTCAAGGCCATACTTTTGGGAGAGCTGCCGCCACAAGCTGCCATGTGGTCACCCTTTATGACCAATCTGTTTAAAACAACTCGCTTGCCAATGTTAATGGCGGCATGGAGGATGAGATGCTCCCACAAATATAAACAGTACACATTTGGATACATGGAGGCAAGAGCAACAGTTGTGGAAGCGATCTCCACAAATACACATGCAGCATGGAAGGAGCTCAAACAAACTCTAGCAAAAGAACCAGAAGAGACCAAGCGGATTGAGCTGGCAGCGAACTTCCGTGCATGCAGAGAGACTCTGCGAACTGGACCATCACAACAAATTAAGATGGAAGCCCTGGCTGAATACAGAACACCAATGGCAACGTCTACCACGTCACCACTTCATCTTCCCCTTTCAACCAACTAACTTCATCCTGGCCTAAGACCTCACCACCCTTACCTTAACATTGCAGTCGCCCTGACCCCCCACCTCCCTTCCCTCTTTCTCCACCCTTTTCGTCCCTTTTCGTCCCTTTTCGTCCCCTGCTTCTATTTCGTCTGCCCTCCTCTATCATCCTCCTTCCTCCCGACTTCCTTCCTTCTTACCGCTGATGCTGCCCCCTCCACCCTCCACCCTCCCCTCACACCTGCAAGCTGGATGTCGGCCAAGCAAAGACTCCCCTCCTTCATTTGAAGTACTTCCACTGGGAATCAAGAGGGACAGCGGCAGGATCCGGTCATGTGGAGACATCAAGCGCGTTGGGAAACGGAGCTGGTGAAGACCTGTTACTCAGCCAAGAGACAATCAAACGTACAGGAGTGTACTGGAAATGCGTTCCCCAGTACATTACAGCATGCACAGGATTATTGGGAGGGTGGGCAAAGGGGGGCCGTTGGGGCGGTAGCCTCAGGCCCCCAAGTTTCTAAATAAAGAACACAAAGGACATGGGACACGGGACTGAGTTAGTAACAGTGGGAGTATGGGGGGGAGGGATCTGATGGCAGCGAGGTTTGTGGGGATACGTGGGAAGAGGTGGTGATTAAAGCAGATCCACATAACCATATCACCACTTTACAGCACAGTGACACAGTACCGCACAAGAATGTAGTCCAAGTTATGACAGGCAAAAGGAGAAATGAAGGGCAATCGGGGAATAAGGGTCTAAGGGCTTAAGGGTTTAAGGGCTTAAGGGTTTAGGGGTCTAAAGGGTTGGGGACTTATGGGTGTAAAGAGTAAGGGTTGAAAGACTCCTGCATAATCGAGCTGGATAGAATTACTCCACTGGAAAATTTATCTGATTGACAGTTATGCATGGACCGTAGGAAACCCAGTCAGGGACGCAGTTAGGAACACAGTTAGGAACACTGTTAGGAACACTCATAATTACACCTTATATAACATACCACGATATGAGGAACGAAACACACGCTGGAGTACCCGCCACATACACAGACAACAGATAATAGACACAGATACAACGACATACGGCAATGACAATGATAGATATTACATAAATTCTAAAGCGACTTTCAACTGGTTAGGATAACATCGTCATAAGTGATAACTCTCTGAATAATCCATAACACAAAGATCTGCTATAGCGCTGGGACAAGCAATCAAATCCCCAGCTCATAAGGCAAACAACAAAACATGCTTATGCTATCGGTGTTTTTGACATTGTATTATACAGGGACGCTGGACCCGATTTCCAGCAGGTGATGCTCCCCACCAATAGATGGAGCCTCCCCGACGATACTAGTGGTGTCTGCTCCTATCAGCACCCCTAGTAGATGGTCGGGTTGTTTTTGTGGGAAAAAAAAATAAAAAAATAAAAAGGTCCAGATATTATTACAAACAGCATGCGCACACTTCCTTGCATTGTGGCCAAAGGAAGTCAAGGTTACCAAGGAGGTAAAACAGTAAATGAAAGGACGAATGCGCCATCTAAGAAAAAAACTTACCCAGGAGGTAAAACACTAAATGTAAGCAAGAACGCACCATCTAAGATGGTATGCTCGTCCTTTCATTTACTGTTTTACCTCCTGGGTAACCTTTCATTTACTGTTTTACTCCCGGGTAACCTTTCATTTACTGCTTTACCTCCTTACCCAGGAGGTCGACGTAAATGTAAGCAAGAAATGCACAATCTAAGACAGACCCCTGGTTGGCTGGCCGTAACACAACAAGGCCGAGGCAGAGAAGAATAGGAAGTGGACGAGAACCTGGATGAGAGGCCATAACAGAGTGGATTGTCAATCCAGTATCTTTCCCCCTTCCCCCCACCCCCCCCCCCCCCCCCCCCCCCCCCCCCCCCCCCCAAGTAGGAAA